TGGGTAACAACAGCGAAACTACGTCTCAAAAAAAAAAAAAAAAAGAGAAAAGAAATTTAAGAACATTGTAACTTGATATGATACAGTTCTGTGACTATCAAAACTTGTGGGATGCAGCTAACACTGTAATTAGAATAAAATGTATGGACACACACATACACGAAAAGAAGCCTGAATAGAGTGAGGTTGACATCCATCTTAAAAACTTAGAAAAAGAGCAACAAAATAAGTACAAAGAAAGGAGAAAGAAGAAAATTAGTGCCAAAATTAGTAAAACAAAGTAGAGATCAACAAAGCCAGAAGCTTGGCACTTTGAAAATTCTTATAAATCAACGAAAATCTGGTGAGGTGGATCAAGGGAGAAAACCTAAGAAATCATCACCATGCATGCTTCTGACGTTTAAAAAGAGGTGTGAGCTCCTGCCTATTGGGAGCCCAGGCAAGTGGATCACTTGAGGTCAGGAGCTTGAGACCAGACTGGCCAACATGGCAAAACCCTGTCTCTACTAAAAATACAAAAATTAGCTGGCACGATGGTGCACATCTGTGATCCCAGCCACTGAGGAGGCTGCGGCATGAAAATCACTTGAGCCCAGAAGCGGGAGGTTACAGTGAGCTAAGATTGCACTACTGCGCTCCAGCCTCAACAACAGACAGGTATTTCAGACACTGTCTCTACAAAAAAATAAAAGAAAAGTAGGCAGGTATGGTGGTGCATGCCTGTAGTCTCGGCTGCTCAGGAAGCTGAGGCAGGAGAATCACCTGAGCTTAGAAATTTAAGGTTACAGTGAGTTATGATCACATCACTGCCACTCCAGCCTGGGTGACAGTGAGACCATGCATTTAAAAAAAAAAATTATAAAAACAAAAATTAGGGCCGGGTGCGGTGGCTCACGCCTGTAATCCCAGCACTTCGGGAGGCCAAGGCGGGTGGATCACGAGGTCAAGAGATCGAGACCATCCCGGTCAACATGGTGAAACCCCGTCTCTACTAAAAATACAAAAAATTAGCTGGGCATGGTGGCGCGTGCCTGTAGTCCCAGCTACTCAGGAGGCTGAGGCAGGAGAATTGTTTGAACCCAGGAGGCGGAGGTTGCGGTGAGCCGAGATCGTGCCATTGCACTCCAGCCTGGGTAACAAGAGCGAAACTCCGTCTCAAAAAAAATAAAAATAAAAAAATAAAAACAAAAATCAATAGTCAAAAATCCTCCCATCAAGTAAATTTCAGGTCCAGAAGTCTTCCTTACCAAGTTCTGTCAAACATTTAGGAGGAAATTACTCCATTAGTAAACAAACTTTCCAAAGAAAAAGAAAAGATACATACAAATCCTTTTATAAGGGTAGCATAGGTCTGGTGCGGTGGCTCACGCCTGTAATCCCAGCACTTTGGGAGGCTGAGGTGGGTAGGTCACGACGTCAGGAGATCAAGACCATCCTGGCCAACATGGTGAAACCCCATCTCTACTAAAAATACAAAAGAAAATTAGCTGGGTGTGGTGGTGTGTGCCTGTAGTCCCAGCTACTCGGGAGGCTGAGGCAGGAGAATTGCTTGAACCCAGGAGGCAGAGGTTGCAGTGGGCCGAGACTGCGCCACTGCACTACAGCCTGGGTGACAGTGCAAGGCTCCATCAAAAAAAAAGGGTAGCATAACCCCAATACTGAAATCCAACAGACAGTCTGGATAAGTAAAACTACAGGTCAATCTCGGCCGGGCGCAGTTGCTCATGCCTGTAATCCTAGCACTTTGGGAGGCCGAGGTGGGTAGATCACCTGAGGTCAGGAGTTCAAGACCAGCCTGGCCATCATGGTGAAACCCCATCTTCAAAAAAAACTACAGGTCAATCTCTCAATCTCACCCAAGAACAAAGATATAATACAAAATTCCTGTACAAAACATCAGAATGATATAATCCAACAGCATACAATGACCAACTGAGGTTTACCTCAGGAATGCAAGGTTGTTGATTTACAATTAAAGCTATTCTGTTAATGTGGTGAATTACATGTCAATAAATATTTAAGCATTTGATAAAATGTAAAAGTCCTTTGTATTCACACCCCTAGGATGGCTGCATCAAAAAGTAACAAATGTTGGCAAGGATGTGAGAGACTGAACACTGAAAATCACTAAGGAGAATGTAAGACGGTGCAGCCACCATGGAAAACAGTTTGGTGATTTCTCAAAATATTAAATACAGAGTAACCTGGGTGGCCCAGACAGGAGTGGGTTCCCCAGAGGGAACACCCTCTCCACCAAGGGACAAAGTGTTTCCTTAAACAGACCCTGCTCCCCATGCCACCCAACTGGCTGAGACCCTCCAACAAGGGTTGTCCAACACCCTATACAGGAGCGATCCTGCTGGCTCAGGTTGGTGCCCCTCCAGGTCAGAGGTCCCAGAAGGAGGAGCAGGCACCCATCTTTGCTGTTCTCCAGCCTCTGTGAGTGACATCTCCAGGCACAGGGTGAATCAGATGAACAAGGCCTGAGGTGAACCCCCAGCAAACTGCAACAGCCCTACCTACGGAAGAGGGACCTGACTGCTCGAACAAAGACAAAAAGCAGAAAGCCACAACAACAAAAGGCCTCCCCCAAAAACCCTTCCAAGGGCGAGGAGCCTCAAAGACCGAAACTAGACAAACTCATGAAGATGAGAAAAAAAAAAATCAATGAAAAAATGCTAAAAACCCCAAAGGCAAAAGTGCCTCTTGTCCTTCAAATGATCACCATGTCTCCATCGAAGATGTGGAGTTGGATGGAGGATCGGATGGACGAGTTGGCGGAAGTAGGTTTCAGAAGATGGGTAATAAAAAACTATGATGAGCTAAAAAAGCATGTTCTAACCCAATGCAAAGAAGCTAAGAACCTTGATAATAGGTTAGAGGAATTGCTAACTAGAATAGCCAGTTTAGAGAGGAACATAAACGACCTGATGGAGCTGAAAAACACAGCACGAGAACTTCCTGAAGCACACACAAGTATCAACAGCCGAACCCACCAAGCGGAAGAAAGGACAGCACAGTGTGAAGACCGCCTCACTGAAACAACATGCAGACAAGAGGAGGAAAAAAGAACCAAGAGCAATGAACAAAGCCTCCAAACAATATGGGACTTCATGAAAAGAGCAAACCTACTACGGACTGGAGTATCACAAGGAGACAGGGAGAATGGAAAGAAGCTGGAAAACACACTTCGGGATACTGTCCAGGAGAGCTTCCCCAACCTAGCAAGACAGGCCAACATGCAAATTCAGGAAATACAGAGAACACCATTAGGATACTCCATGAGAGGCTGGGCGTGGTGGCTCACGCCTGTAATCCTAGCACTTTGGGAGGCCGAGGTGGGTGGATCACCAGAGGTCAGGAGTTTAAGACCAGCCTGGCCATGATGGTGAAGCCCTATCTTTTTTTTTTTTTTTTTAAAGACTAGTCAAGTGCAGTAGTGAGAAGGGGGGAAAGAGTAGAACAAGGAGTTTGATCTGTAACTGACTGTGAACAGTCAATTGAGATAACTCACTACCTTCAGACCAGCTGAAACCCCATTTAAAAAAAAAAAAAGATACTCCATGAGAAGATCAACCCCAATCCTCAAATTCTCCGAGGTTCAAATAAAGGAGAAACTGTTGAGGGCAGCCAGAAAGGCCAGGTCACCTACAAAGGGAAGTCCATCAGACTAATGGCAGACCTCTCAGCAGAAACTCTACAAGCCAGAAGGGAGTGGGGGCCAATGTTCAACATTCTTAAAGAAAAGAATTTTCAGGCCGGGCGCAATGGCAGCACTTTGGGAGGCTGAGGTGGGATCACAAGGTCAAGAGTTCAAGACCAGACTGACCAACATAGTGAAACCCCATCTCTACTAATAAATTTTTAAAAAATCAGCTGAGCATGGTGGCACATGCCTGTAGTCCCAGCTACTGGGAGGCTGAGGCAGGAGAATCACTTGAACCCAGGAGGTGGAGGTTGCAGTAAGCAGAGATTGCACCATTGCACTCCAGTTTGGGCAACAAAGTGAGACTTTGTCTCAAAAAAAAAAAAAGGATAAATAAAAGAATTTTCAACCCAGAATTTTATATCCAGCCAAATTAAGCTTTCTTAAGTGAAGGAGAAATAAAATCCTTTTCAGACAAGCAAATGCTGAGGGATTTTGTTACCAGCAAGCCTGCCCTGCAAGAGCTCCTACAAGAAGCACTAAATATGGAAAGGAAAAACTGGTACCAGCCACTGCAAAAACACACCAAAATATAAAGACCAATGATACGAAGAAGAAACTGCATCAACAAGTGTGCAAAGTAACGAGAGAGCATGATGATGGCAGGACCGAACGCACGCATAGCGATACTAACCTTAAATGTAAATGCGCTGAATTAAAAGACACAGACTGGCAAACTGGATAAGGGGTCAAGACCCATCGGTGTGCTACATTCAGGAGACCCATCTCATGTGCAGAGACACACCCGGGCTCAAAATAAAGGGATGGAGGAAACCTTACCAAGCAAATGCAAAGCAAAGAAAAGCAGGAGTTGCAATCCTAGTCTCTGACAAAACACGTTAAACCAACAAAGATGGAAAAAGACAAAGAAAAGCATTACATACCAGTAAAGGGAACAGTGCAACAAGACGCGCTGACTATTCTGAACACACACACCCCATACAGGAGCACCCAGAGTCACAAAGCAAGTGCTTAGAGACTGACCTGCAAAGAGACTGACTCCCACACAGTCACACCCCACTAGCAGTATCAGACAGATCAGCGAGACAGAAAACTAACGAAGATATTCAGGACTTGAACTCAGCTCTGGATCGAGTGGACCTAGCAGACGTCTACAGAACTCTCTGCCCCAATCAACAGAAGGTACATTCTTCTCAGTGCCACACGGCACTTATTCTAAGATCAACCACATAATTGGAAGTAAAACACTCCTGAGCAAATGCAAAAGAACTGAAAACAGTCTCTCAGACCACAGTGCACATTAGAACTGAAGATTAAGAAGCTAACAACTCCAGTGCCCGCTTCGGCAGCACATACACAAAAGCTGGAGCGATACAGAGAAGATTAGCATGGCCCCTGCACGAGGATGACACGCAAATTCGTGAAGTGTTCCGTGTTTTTTATTTTATTTTGTTTATTTATTTTTGAGTCGGAGTTTCGCTCTTGTTACCCGGGCTGGAGTGCAATGGCGCGATCTCGGCTCACCGCAACCTCCGCCTCCTGGGTTCAGGCAATTCTCCTGCCTCAGCCTCCTGAGTAGCTGGGATTACAGGCACACGCCACCATGCCCAGCTAATTTTTTGTATTTTTAGTAGAGACGGGGTTTCACCATGTTGACCGGGATGGTCTCGGTCTCCTGACCTTGTGATCCACCCACCTTGGCCTCCCAAAGTGCTGGGATTACAGGTGTGAGCCACCGCACCCAGCCTTGGTTCCATGTTTTTTATATTCTTAAAAATTAAAAAAAAATTTTTTTAAAAAGAAACTAACTCAAAACCACACAATTTCATGGAAATTGAACAACCTGCTCCTGAATGACTCCCAGATAATGAAATTAAAGCAGAAATCGAAAAGTTCTATGAAGCCAATGAGAACAAAGAAACAATGTACCAGCATCTCTGGGATGCAGCTAAAGCAATGTTAAGAGGGAAATTAGGCTGGGTGTGGTACCTCACACCTGTAATCCTAGCACTTTGGGAGGCCAAGACGGGCAGATCACGAGGTCAGGAGTTCAAGACCAGACTGACCAACACAGTGAAACCCTGTCTCTACTAAAAAATACAAAAATTATCTGGGCATGGTGGCTCGTGCCTATAATCCCAGCTACCCGGGAGGCTGAGGTAGGAGGATTGCTTGAACCGGGACCAGGAGGCGGAGGTTGCAGTGAGCCGAGATTGTGCCACTGTACTCCAGCCTGGCCTACAGAGCAAGACTCCATCTCAAAAAAAAAAAAAAAAAAAACAGAGGGAAGTTAATAGCACTAAATGCCCACATCAGAAAGCTAGAAAGATCTCAAATACACACCCTGAGACCACAATTAAAAGAGCCAGAGAGGCAAGAGCAAACTGATCCAAAAGCTAGTAGAAGATAGGAACTAACCCAAATCAGAGAGGAATTGAAGGAGAGACACACACACACACAAAATTAACAAATCCAGGAGCCGATTTTTTGAAAACATTAACCAAACAGATTGACCACTAACTAGACTAATAGAGAGAGAAGAATCTAACAGACACAATAAAAAAAATAACAAAGGGGATATTACCACTGGCTCCAAAGAAACGCAAACTACCATCGGAGAATGCTATAAACAGCTCTACACAAATAAACTGGAAAATCTAGAAGAAACTGATAATTTCCTGGGTGCACACACCCTACGAAACTAAATCAGGAAGAAGTCGAATCCCTGAATAGACCAGAAATAAGCTCTGACACTGAGGCAGTAATAACCTATCAACCAAAGAAAAGCCCAGTACCAGACGGACTCACACTGAATTCTACCAGAAATACAAAGAGGAGCTGGTACTATTCCTTTTGAAACTATTCCAAACAATTGAAAAGGAGGGACTCCTCCCTAACTCATTCTATGAAGCCAGCATCATCCTGATACCAGAATTTGGAAGAGACACAACAAAAAAAGGACACTTCAGGACAGTATCCCTGATGAATATTGACGTGAAAATCTCCAATAAAACACTGGCAAACCAAAACCAGCAGCAAATCAAAAAGCTCATCCATCATAATCAAGTCGGCTTCATCCGTGAGCTGCAAGGCTGGTTCAACATCCGCAAATCAACAAGCATAATCTCTCACATCAACAGAACCAAAGACCAGAACCAGACGATTATCTCGACAGATGCAGAAAAGGCCTTTGATAAAATTTAATACCCTTTCATGTTAAAAACTTTCAATAAACTAAGTATTGATGGAACATATCTCAAAATAATAAGAGCTATTTATGACAAACCCACAGACAATACCGTATTGAATGGGCAAAAGCTGGAAGCATTCCCTTTGAAAAACTGGTACATTAACTCAAGACAGATTAAAAACTTAAATGTGAAACCCAAAACCATAAAAACCCCCAGAAGAAAACCTAGGCAATACCATTCAGGACACAGTCATGGGCAAAGATTTCATGACAAAAACACCAAAAGCAATTGCAACAAAAGCCAAAACTGACACTAAAGAGCTTCTGCACAGCAAAAGAAACTATTATCAGTCAACAGGCAACCTGCAGAATGAGAGAAAATGCCCATCTGACAAAGATCTAATATCCAGAATCTACAAGGAACTTAAACATATTTACAAGAAACAAACAACCCCATCAAAAAGGGGGCAAAGGATATGAACAGATACTTCTCAAAAGAAGACATTTAGGCCGGGCACGGTGGCTCACGCCTATAATCCCAGCACTTTGGGAGGCCGAAGCAGGTGGATCACAAGGTCAAGAGATCGAGACCATCCTGGTCAACGAGGTGAAACCCCGTCTCTACTAAAAATACAAAAATTAGCTGGGCATGGTGGTGCACGCCTGTAGTCCCAGCTACTCAGGAGGCTGAGGCAGGAGAATTGCTTGAACCCAGGAGGCGGAGGTTGCGGTGAGCCGAGATCGCGCCATTGCACTCCAGCCTGGGTAACAAGAGCGAAACTCCGTCTCAAAAAAAAAGAAGACATTTACGTGGCCAAGACACATATGAAAAAAGCTCAACATTACTCATCATCAGAGAAATGCAAACCAGAACCACGAAGAGATGCCATCTCATGGTAAACCAGAAATATCATTTGACTCAGCAATCCCATTACTGGGTATGTATCCAAAGGAATATAAATCATTTTACTATAAAGATACATGTGGCCGGGCGTGGTGGCTCAAGCCTGTAATCCCAGCACTTTGGGAGGCCGAGGCGGGTGGATCATGAGGTCAAGCGATTGAGACCATCCTGGTCAACATGGTGAAACCCCATCTCTACTAAAAACACGAAAAATTAGCTGGGCATGGTGGCGCGTGCCTGTAATCCCAGCTACTCAGGAGGCTGAGGCAGGAGAATTGCCTGAACCCAGGAGGCGGAGGTTGCGGTGAGCCGAGATCACGCCATTGCACTCCAGCCTGGGTAACAAGAGTGAAACTCCGTCTCAAAAAAAAAAAAAGATACATGTACATGTATGTTTACTGCAGCACTACTTACAATAGCAAAGACATAAGACCAACCCAAATGCTCATCAAAGATGTACTGGATAAAGAAAATGTGACACATAACAAAAAAGATATAAATAAATAATGAAAAAATGTGATACATACACACCATGGAATACTATGCAGCCATAAAAAGGAATGAGATCCTGTCCTTTACAGGGACATGGATGAAGCTGAAAGCCATCATCCTCAGCAAACTAACATAGAAACAGGAAGCCAAACACCACATGTTCTCATTCATAAGTGGAGTTGAACATTGAGAAGACATGGACACAGAGAGGGAAACAACACACACCAGGGCTTGGTGGCGGGGTTGGGGGTGAGGGGAGGGAACTTAGAGGATGGGTCAATGGGTGCAGCAAACCACAGCACACATATACCTAGGTAACAAACCTGCACATTCTGCGCATGTATTCCATTTTGTTTTGTTGTGTTTTAAAGAAGAAATAAAGGCTGGTGCAGTGGCTTATACTTGTAATCCCAGCACTTTGGGAGGCCAAGGCAGGCAGATCATGAGGTCAAGAGGTGGAGACCAGCTTGGCCAACATGGTATTTGTATTTGTACAAATACAAAAATTAGCTGGGCTTGGTGGCGCATGCCTGTAGTCCCAGCTACTTAGGACACTACGGTAGGATAATCACTTGAACCTGGGAGGCAGAGGCTGCAGTGAGCCGAGATCACATCACTACACTTTAGGCTGGTGACAGAGTGACACTCCGTCTAAAAAAAAAAACAAAAACAAAACATCACACTAAGTGAAAGAAGTCAGGCACAATATACCAGATGTCTGACTCTATATAACACATCCTGAACAGACAAATCTATAGAAGCAAAAAGTAATTACTAGTCACCTAGGAGTGGGGAGGAAGAGGAATGGGGAAACGCTAACGAGTACAGGATTTATTTGGGGGACAATGAAAATGTTTTAAAATTGACTAGAATGGTCATCAACTCTGTGAATGTACTAAAAACCATTGAACTGTACACTTTATTTTTTTTATTTTTATTTTTTTGAGACGGGGTTTCACCATGTTGGTTGGGGTGGTCTTGAACTCCTGACCCCAGGTGATCCGCCCGCCTTGGCCTTCAAAGTGCTTGGATTAAAGGCATGAGCCACCATGCCCGGCAAACTGTAAATTTTAAATGGTGAAAGCTATCTGTTATCAATTATATCTTTTTTCTTTTGAGATAGGGGTCGTTCTGTTACCCAGGCTAGAGTGCAGTGATGGGATCATAGCTCATTGCCTCCTCAACCTCCCAGGCTCAAGCTATCCTCTCATCTCAGCCTGCCAAGTAGTTTCAGCCTCCCACAGCCGTGTGCCACCACCCCTGGCTAATTTTTATATTTTTTATGGAGACAGGGTTTCACCATACTGTCCAGGCTAATCTCGAACTCCTGGGCTCGAGCAATCCGCCCATTTTGGCCTCCCAAAGTGCTGAGATTACAGGCATGAGCCACTGCACCCGGCTATAAATTATATCTTAATAAAGCTATTTTTAAAAAATTCATGATTAAAAGATTTTTTTTTACAAGTCCTCTAAGAAGAGAAGAGAATTTCCTTAACTAGATAAAGGGTATTTACCAAAGACAACAGGGAACGTAACGCTTATTGGCAAAACATTCCAAGTTCTCTCTGTGTGATGGGAGGTCAGACAACAAGCTGGAGGGTCCTGGCCAGTCCAGTGAGATGAGAAAAAAACAAAAGGCAACTGGAAAATGAAAAATAATATGAAGTGCACAGAAAAATCAAGAAATTCTACAGAAAAAAATTACTGCAATGAGTAAAATTTTAACACAAATGGTAGTCACAAACTCATTATCCAAAACTCAGGCTGGCTGTGGTGGCTCACATCTGTAATCCCAGCACTTGGGGAGGCTGAGGTGGCTGGTCACCTGAGGTCAGGAGTTCAAGACCAGCCTGG